GGAGAGGCTCATCCAGGGACACCCCGAGCTGGGAACTCCAAAATCTCCCCGAAGTTCCATGGGAAGGGCCGGGAGAGGCTCATCCAGGGACACCCCGAGCTGGGAACTCCAAAATCTCCCCGAAGTTCCATGGGAAGGGCCGGGAGAGGCTCATTCAGGGCTACCCAAAACCAGGAACTCCAAAATCCCCCCAAAGTTCCCTGGGAATGGCTGGGAGAGGCTCATCCAGGGACACCCAGAGCTGGCACCAAATCCCTCTAAAATTCCATGGAAACAGCCTGGGAGAGGCTCATCCAGGGACACCCCCAGCCAGGAACTCCAAAATCCCCCCAAAATTCCATGGGAAGGGCCGGGAGAGGTTCACCCAGAGCCGGGAGCTGCCACCAAATCATCCCAAAGTTCCCTGGGAATGGCTGGGAGAGGCTCATCCAGGGACCCCCCGAGCTGGCACCAAATCTTCTCATTTTTAAGGAGAAGATGGGAGGTTTTTTGGGCTATTTTTAAGGAGAAGATGGGAGTTTTGGCAATTTTTAAGGAGTAGATGAGATTTTTGGTATTCTGACTATATTTTTTAAGGAGAAGGTGGGACTTTGGGTGCTCTGGGCTATTTTTAAGTAGAAACCCGGGCTTTTTGGGGAGCTGTTTGGAAGGAGAAGACGCCAAACCCGGGAAGTTCACTGTGTGTCTCCTGCTTAAAGGCTCCAAAAAATTGGGGAGGGGAGGGGACCCCCCTGTTTCCCACCCACCGTGGTCCCACCCATCCCGTTGGATCGGGAGAGATGGGACCACCAGGAAGGTCAAACCCATTGAACGAGAATAAAACGCGGAGGGGAAAAAAGGAGGGGGAAAAAAAATCAATAAAATGTGATTTTTTGGGGGGGAAAAAAACAATAAAATGTGATTTTTTTTGGGGGGGAAAATGTGACTCTTTCCCCCCTCCCCGTCCAGGTGCGATTCCTGGAGCAGCAGAACCGAGTCCTGGAGACCAAGTGGAAGCTGCTGCAGGAGCAGGGGGGGTCTGGCCCGGGGGGCAGGAGCCTGGAGACCCTCTTTGAGGCCTACATCAGCTCGCTCCGCAGGCAGCTCGATTCCCTCTCCGGGGAGAAGCTCCAGCTGCAGGCGGAGCTCAAGAGCTCCCAGGACTCGGTCGAGGAGTTCAAGACCAAGTAGGTGCTTCGGGGGGGGATGAAGAAACGGAGAGAAAACCCCAAACAGCCCCAAAAACCCCTGAAATATCGATGATAATAATCGTCGATATTTCATTTAGATTTTTTCAGCCGGGCAGAAAATGTCAAAGGTTTCGGGCTCGGAGGGGGATTTTTTTAAGGTGTTTCTCAATATTCTTCAGATTTTCTCCGTGTTCATTTTATCTCCTCAATATTTCTCAGGTTTTCTCAGGTTTCCTCGATATTCCTCAGATTTTCTCAACATTCCTCAAATTTCCTCGATATTCCTCGAATTTCCTCGATATTCCTTGATATTTCTCAAATTTCCTTGATATCCCTCAAGTTTCCTCAATATTTCTCAGATTTCCTCGATATTCCCCAAATTTTCTCAATATTCCTTAAATTTCCTGGATATTCCTCATATTTCCTCGATATTCCTCATATTTTCTCCATATTCCTCCTATTTTCTCAATATTCCTCAAATTTCCTCAATGTTTCTCAATATTCCTCAAGTTTCCTCAATATTCCTCAAATTTCCTTGAATTTTCTCACTATTCCTCAAATTTCCTCAAACTTCCTCAATACTCCTCATATTTTCTCCATATTCCTCAATATTTCTCAAATTTCCTCAACATTCCTCAAATTTCCTCGATATTCCCCAAATTTCCTCAATATTCCTCGATATTCCCCCAATTTCCTCAATATTCTTCAGATTTCCTTGATATTCCCCAAATTTCCTCAATATTCCTCAAATTTCCTCAACATTGCTCATATTTTCTCCATATTCCTCACATTTCCTCAAGTTTCCTCAATATTCCTCAAATTTCCTCAATATTCCTCAAATTTCTTCAAATTTCCTCAATATTCCTCAAATTTCCTCGACATTCCTGACATTTCCTCGCTGTTCCTCGAATTTCCTCCGTGCCTTGTTTGGATCCCGAGGGAGGATCCTCCACTCAATTAGGAATCCGTGACATTAACGATTTAACGACTTAATTAGTTGCTAAACCCGGCTCCGGTTTCCTCCTGGGTTTCCTTCCCATAAAACCCTTCAGCATTCCGAGGGTTTCTTGGGAAGGTTGAGGTGGCGTAAAAAAAACACAGGGAAAATAAAGAAATTTTCCTGCCATTATTTATTATAACCTATAAGTAGGATATAAATATAAATTATAGCTTGAATATTATGATAATATTATATATATTATATTTTTTTACATTTGAGTATTTATACTTATTATATATAAATACGATTTATACAATTTATTTCTATATAAATAGTATAAATACAATTTATTATATATAAGTACAGTTTGTTATAGTAAATAAGATGATAAAACCGGTCCAGTTGGAAAAGGAAGAACAAATCCCGCAGAAAAGAATCCACTCAAGGAATTCCAAAAAAAAAAAAAAAATGGGAAAAGGAGTCTGGGAATCACCGGGATCACCCAGGCCCGGGATCTGCTGGTTGAAAATTGACTTTATTTTTGGGGAGGAGCAGCTGGAAACGGCCCATGGGGGGATTTTTGGGGTTGGATCATGATCCCGGTGGGTTCCTGGGGGGAATTCCATGATCCGTGTGCGGAGCTGGAGCCTTGGAGAAGGTCCTGAAGCCGCCGGGACTTGCGTCTGGCAGAGCCAGGATTCCTCTTCCCAGGCTTTCCTGGGAATCCCGGAGCCGGGACCTGTCCCAGGGAGGTTCCCGGGCCATTCCTGCTGAGCTCCCGAGGCTCCCGAGGCCATTCCAGAGGCAAATCCCGTCTCTGCTCCCCAGGTACGAGGAGGAGATCAACAAACGCACGGCGGCCGAGAACGACTTCGTGCTCCTCAAGAAGGTCCAGGCCCTTATTCCCGACCCGAAGGGGCTCCAGGAGAGCTGGAGAGGGAGCTGGGATGGGGGATGGAGGGACAGACACAGGGAATGGCTTCCCACTGGGAAAGGGGGGATTTAGGGGGGATACTGGGAAGGAATTCCTGGCTGGGAGGGTGGGGAGGCCCTGGGATGGATTTCCCAGAGAAGTTGTGGCTGCCCCTGGATCCCTGGGAGTGTCCAAGGCCGGGCTGGATCCCCCTGGGATGGTGGGAGGTGTCCCTGCCCATGGAAAGGTGGGATGGGATGGGATTTAATGCCCCAACCCAACCCATTCCAGGATTCCTTGATTCTGGAGCCAGGCTGGGAGAGCTGGGAATGTTCCCCTGGAGAAGGGAAGGATCCAGGCAGAGCTTGGAGCCCCTTCCAGGGCCTGAAGGGGCTCCAGGAGAGCTGGAGAGGGACTGGGGACAAGGGCTGGAGGGACAGACACAGGGAATGGCTTCCAACTGGGAAAGGGGGATTTAGATGGTATTTGGGGAAGGAATTCCTCCCTGGGAAGGGTGGGGAGGCCCTGGAATGGATTTCCCAGAGGATGCCCCTTCCTGGATCCCTGGGAGTGTCCAAGGCCGGGTTGGATCCCCCTGGGATGGTGGGAGATGTCCCTGCCCACGGCAGGGGGTGGGACTGGATTCAGGATCCCTCCCAACCCAACCCATCCCATCCCGCCATTCCATGAAATCTGATCCGGGCGGGTTTTCTCCCCCCGTGTCCCCTGCAGGACGTGGACGGGGCCTACATGGTCAAGGTGGAGCTCCAGGCAAAGGTGGATTCCCTGGTGGACGAGATCAACTTCCTCAAGTGCCTGTATGAGGCGGTGAGTGATGGTGGGATAAGGGATAAGGGATGTCGGGATGTCGGGATGAGGGATGGAGGGATGTAGGGATGGAGGGATGTCGGGATAAGGGATGTCGGGATGGAGGGATGTCAGGATGCTGGGATAAGGGATGTTAGGATGTCAAGATGTTGGGATAAGGGATGTTGAGATGTCAGGATATCACGATGTCAGGCTGTCGGGATGTTGGGATGTCGGGATGTTGGGATAAGGGATGTCGGGATATCAGGATGTCGGGATATCAGGATGTCAGGATGTTGGGATAAGGGATGTCGGGATGTTGAGGGGGCTGCAGCACCACCGGGAAGCTCCAGAGGGGCTCAATCCGGGCCGGGTGTGCCCTGCAGGAGCTGTCCCAGATGCAGAAGTCGGTGTCGGACACCTCGGTGGTGCTTTCCATGGACAACAACCGGAACCTGGACCTGGACAGCATCATCGCCGAGGTGAAGGCGCAGTACGAGGACATCGCCAACCGCAGCCGCGCCGAGGCCGAGACCTGGTACCGGGGCAAGGTGGGTGTGGGACACCCTCTGGGGTCTGGGGGGTGGGAGAGTCACCCATGGGAGCTCAGACTGCTCCAGGAGCTGGGATTGGGAGCTCAGAGCACTCCAGCAGCTGGGATTGGGAGCTCAGAGCACTCCAG